TTTATAAGATGAGCATCAGGTTGGCTGGTACCCCTTTCCTCAAAAGTTTGGGTCCCAGTCTCACAGGACCTCTCTTCCAAGTTCAGAGACAATAGCATCAGAGCAGTACTCTTTCCTCAGGGGTCTGAGTTTCAGCTCTGCACAACTCTTCCTGCAAGCTTCTGAGTTTTAATAATCCCAGTCTCTTCCTTTGGCTTCTCTAGTCCTAGGGTTGGTAGCTTCCTCCTGCAGTTGTTATCTCCCTGATCTATTGTGTTCTGTTTTTATCTTCTCAGTTACCTATTTAGCCCCAGAGTTAACAATCCGTTGTATTAAATTCTCTCTATTAAAAGAATCAATATGTTTTACCTCCTGGCTAGACTGATACAAGGATTAAATAAGTTACTTAGGAGAACAGTGCCTGACACACAATAATTGCTCCATGAATAATATCCTCTAATAGCATAATGGACACTATTATGTAGAATAACATACTTGAAGTAATTTGTGATTTTTTCCTAACCTATTTATTTGCAAAATAAAATTTGCAATTTATACAGCTAAAACCTTAAAAGAATCATTGAATTGATTGATCTTGGTATAGACAAGTATCACCTCATTTAGGCCTAACTTAACTACCTCATTTAAATTGTAAACTCTTGTCTGTGTGCTCCCATCTCCCCCTCGTTTTCTTATCTTTGTTATTTACCTTGCTTCTTTCTCCAGCAGTACTAATCATTGATGTACTATTTATTTCTTTATCTGTTGACTGTCTACTCTTAACAGTTATAGTAAGTACCTTGAGGACAGATTTTGTATATTTTGTAACATTGTCAGCAGCTGGAACAGTGTCTGAGATATAGAATGCACACAGAATTTGTTGGAAGAATGAATTGATTTTAGCAGATCAACTCTTGGTCAAGACTTGGCCAAGATTTTTAAGAGATTTCTGTGCGATAGTTTCCCCTTATTTGAAATTTCCCTTTCTGTGGTTTCAGCTACCCATGGAGAGAGACCATGTTCACATACCTTTTATTATAGTATAGTGTTGTAATTGTTCTATTTTGTTACTAGTTACTGTTGTTAATCTCTTACTGAGCCTAATTTGGAAATTAAACGTTATCATAGGCATGTATATGTAGGAAAAAACTTAGTGTATACAGTAGAACCTCTATAAGTTGATTACCCAGGGGACTGTAATAAACTGGTCAACATATGGAGGTGGTCAACATAAAGTAGGCCTGCTGTACTGATAGGTACATGTGGTACATGTCTGGTGTATGAAAATTAGATCACCTTCAGGAGGTGGTTAATGTAGGGAGGTGGTCAACTATGGAGGTTCTGCTGTATATAGGGTTTGGCACTCTGTGAGGTTTTAAGCATCCACTGGAGGTCTTGGAATGTATCCCTTGTGGATAAGGGGAACGACTGTACTGTATTTTTTTTCTAGGACAGATTTCACTCAAGTGTTGTTTGTGTTTTCCACAGCTCTGACCAATGCCTTGATGTAGTAGACATTCATGAGCGGTGATGTGGGTTGTTTAGTTTTTATAATTTGTTATAGTCAAAGATTCTATACTGGACAGTTAGGTAGGGTCTCACCTCTTGTCTTGGAGAGAGAATACCTCTTAGCTCTCAGATTTGAGATCAAATAACCCAAATCAATAGAGTCAGTCCTAGTGATTATTATTATTGTTTTTCAATTTTGGTAGATTTTACTTTAGTACTCTTGTCATGAGATAGTAATACAAACTCCATAAACAGTAAATTTATCTGAACATTAGTAGGAGAAGTTAGCAAGAAAAGAAAGAGAGCTTAAGAGACTTATTAACATTTTAACTCTAAACTGGCATGTCAACCATTTGAACTTGAATTTTTCTTGATGTCTGCAAGTTCAGGTTGCATTTCTAGGTTTCATTCAATAGCCACTTTCCCCCACATTCCAGCACATACATTGGATGACAGTAAAACCATTCTCCTTCGGCATAGGCTTACACCTGTAAGTTGACCATTCAGACAAAATTCTTCCCAAGGGACTTTGAGGTAGAACTTTTCTATGTTGCAGCAAAACTCACAAATAACAAACAGAGGTTTTTGAGAAGGAGGAAAAGGAAATTTATTGCTTTGCTTATAAAGGAGGAAAAATAGCTCAAAGTACCAATCCTAGTGATATTAAAATAATTAATTCATCTCTCTTTATTCTTTGTTTTTAGATTTCCTTTATATTTTTCTGTTTTTGTTTTAATTTTTTGCTTTCCCTTTTGATAGACTAACACCTTTGTGGGACTGATAACATCTCTGTTTTTTGTGCTTGTGTTTCAATTTCCAGCTGAGAACTTTACTAAAATATTATGTATTCTTCATTATAAAAATATTAGTCTTAGAAAATGTGGAAATATAGAAAGAAAATGAGTGAAGATTTAAAAATTACTCTTATTTGATAGAAGTTATTTCCTAGATGGTGAGGACAAGAGCAGTTTTTACCCTACTTCATTTAGAACATGAAACCAGCATAGAAAATGCAGATAAATTATGTTTCCCAGCAGCCCTCTATTTGTTTATGTAAAGTGGCCAAGTGGCTTGGCTTGGCTGATAGCAAAATCAGTTCGTTTATTGTGTTTTTAGGAGATAATTAGATTTCATTATTTCTTTTATTTAAAATCTTTTTTTTTTTTTTTTTTTTGAGACGGATCCTCAGGCTGTCCCCCTGGGTAAAATCTTAAGCTTATTGTAATATGCCACAAAATGAGAAAACATTTTTAACAGAATTAGAATACTTCTATATCTCAGTTTGTAGAGTACTTCATAATTTGCAAAAAAATTATCTCTATATCTTCTGTATAGATATTTTCTGTATCTTTTATATCTTCTATAGATGATCTAGATCTTCTTTAGAAAATATTCTATATCTCAGTTTGTAGAGTACTTCATAATTATGCCAAACAATTTTTGTGGAAGAATTATTATCACTTTAGCAAAACTATAAAGAAACATAGTTGTTCATTTTTAACGCTATGTTTTAAATCAGAATCTAGTCGTAAAGGGTGTACTGCTTTTATACCAGGCTTCTGGATCTTAGATTTACTGAGTTTCTTAGGTTTATAGGTAACATTTTAAAACATCTTTATTATGAAAATATATACAAGACTAGAATAACACTGGAGATCTGATTATGAACTCGCAGATAATCTTGTTTCAGCTATTACCCTCTTTACTTCTCCTCCTCTGTTATTTTTTTAATATGTAAACTTTTTCATGAAGTCTAGTATACATAAATTCTAAGTATACAACTTGACAAATTTTATATATCCTCTTGTATTACTTTGAAGCAATTGTCATATTTTTCCTGTATATTTCATCCTTATATTGTTAAATAAATACAAGCCTGAAGACCAAGTTAAAAAAAAAAAAAGAGCTCGTCAATCTAATATTTAAAAGCATGAAAATCCTTCACATAAAGGCTGAATGGAATAAATGTTAAAAATAAGAATGGAATAACAAATACCCAGATATTAATTTAAAAATGCAATGTCTGTTAATAAAACGTTTTCAAAGATCAGTCATGGTCACTTAAAGTCACTATGTTGTTATTTTCATAAATCACCAAAAAGAAAACCAAACCAAAAAGCCTCAACAATTAGGAAATAAACAACCAAATTAAAAAATGGGCAAAAGATTTGAACAGACGGCCTCAACAAAGATATTCAGATGGCAAGTAAGCATGTGAAAAGATATTCAACATCATATGTCATTAGAGAATTGCAACTTGAAAGTAAGATACAGGTACCACTGCACACCTATTAGACTGGTGAAAATCCAGTGGCACCACCGCCTGCTGGTCAGGATGTAGAACAACAGGAACTTGGTTCTGTGTTGATGGCTATGCAGAATTGTACAGCCAGCTCCTTTGCAAGACAGCTTGGCAGTTTCTTAGAAAACTGAACATACTCTTACCATATGATCTAGCAGTTGTGCACCTTTATATGTACCCAGATGTGTTGAAAACTTAAGTCTCTATAGAAGCCTGCACATGCATGTTTCTAGCAGCTTTATTCATAATTGCTACAACTTGAAAACAACCAACATGTCCTTTAGTGGGTGAATGGATAAGCTGTGATACATCCAAACAGTGGTATATTTTTAAGTGCTAAAAAGAAAACTATATTTTTGTTTTGTTTTGAGACAGAGTCTAACTCCATAGCCCTGGGGTTGAGTGCCCTGGTGTCATCATAGCTCACAGCAACCTCAAACCTGGGGAGGGGGTGTTCAACTGATCCTCTTGCTTCAGCCTCTCAAGTAGCTGAGATACAGGTACCCACTAGAAAGCCTGCTAATTTTTCTGTTTTTAGTAGAGATGGGGTTTTACTCTTGCTCATGCTGGTCTCAGCCTCCTGAGTTCAAGGGATCCTCCTACCATGGCCTTCCAAGAGTGCTAGGAGTACAGATGTGAGCAACTGCACCAGCCAAGAAAGAGCTATTAAGCCATGAAGACATTGAGGAACGTAAACTTCAATGTATTTTACTAAGAAAGATAATCTGAGAGGTCTACATATTCTGTGATTCCAAGTACCTGACATTCTGGAAATAGCAAAACTGGAGGCAGTAAAAAGATCAGTAGTTACCAGGGATTGGGGAAAGGGAGGGATGAGTAGTCTGAGCACATAGGATTTTTAGGGCAGTGAAACTTTTCTATATGATGCTATGTGTACATAATGGTGGGTACCATTATATATTGTTGAAACCCATGGATGTACAACACTAAGAGTAAGCCTGATATAAACTGTGGACTTGATGTATTAATGTAGCTTTATCAGTTGTAACAAATTCCTACTCTGGTGCAGAATGTTGATAGTAGGGGAAGTTACGTGTGTGACAGGGCAGGGAGCATAAGGGAACTTTCTGTAATTTCTGCTCAATTCTCCTGTGAACCCAAAACCAATCTGAAAAATAAAATCGACTAAAATAATAATTTCTTTAAAGTATGCACTTTACTACGACACTTCTGCTACTTTCATTTTTAGGCCCAGAATAAAGAGACCCATGTTTTAGCTGCTGCAAAGGTAATTGACACCAAATCAGAAGAAGAACTTGAAGACTACATGGTTGAGATTGATATATTAGCATCTTGTGATCACCCAAATATAGTCAAGCTTCTAGATGCCTTCTATTATGAGAACAATCTTTGGGTAAGTACTTTCGGTTCATCTATAGTACCTAAAATGAGTTCATTATCCTAAAGAGGTTTATGGGTTTTGAAAGCCTATATTATGTCTTACCTCTTTTATTTAGTTACTTATCCTATTTGATGTCTTACCTCTTTTATTTAGTTACTTGTATTACTTGAATGAAAGTTGATTTGCTAATGAGCGAATAATAACAACATCATTATTCTCAGCTTCAGAAGATGTTCAGATTTATGTTTCAGATCAGACCAGTTTCATCATGATTGTCTGACTGATGATCGTGATTGGATCCAGGTGGAAAAACTTGGTTAAGAATATTTAATTTTCTTAAATACAAAATTAAATATCCTTGTTTGTAATTTATATTTAAGCATTTAAAAGTGTTTTAAAGTTTGCTTTCCTAGAAATTTTTTATAATTTTTTATCTTAAAGTTTGTTATTAATCATGTAATAAACTACAAAATAGTAGAAATGTTAAATATTTATCTTACATTATCAGGTTCAACTTTACTGCGTGATATAATGGCTAAGGGTGTTTGTATAAATTTTGTTCATTTTTAGAAAATATTAGGCAGAAATAGATATAGAAAGCAAATGTTTGTATTCTTTATAATAAACAGTCATTTGCTCTATTCTAACACTGTTTTATCAAGAGAGCTTTTTAAATACTTTTAGGTCACGTGTGGTGGCTCATTCTGTAATCCTAGTACTCTGGGAAACTGAGGCAGAAAGGTTGCTTGAGCTCAGGAGTTCAAGGCCAGCCTGAGCAAGAGCAAACCCCTGTCTCTACTAAAATAGAAAAAGTTAGGTGGCTGTGGTGGACATCTGTATTCCCAGCTACTTGGGAGGCCAAGGCAGGAGGATCACTTGAACCCCAGAAGTTTGAAGTTTCTGTGAGTTGTGAGTTATGATGAGGCCACTGTACTCTAGCCATGGTGACAGAATGAGACACTACCTCAAAAAGAGAAACAAACAAAAAAAAGGTGTTTTCAGTTTTTCTTTTTGAAGAAAGAAAGTTTTATAAGAGAAGAGCAAGTAGTATAAGGAATACGTGACTGGAAATCATAAGGTCTTTTTTTAAATCCTATTAATAAAGTTAAAATATATATTTGGTCACTTAAATCACAATAGTTACCTTAAAAGTGGGAGCAACAATATCTTTCATGACAAAATGGTTTATATAATGCTGTACTGAATAAAAATTCTGTATCTGGTCATTTTAGAGAAGCAGGAACTCTACACATGGTCATTAACAAAAATGCACATACTTTCACAGTGGGTTCTCTTTGTGCTTTTTTTTTTGAGACAGAGCCTCAAGCTATCCCCCTGGGTAGAGTGCCATGGCATCACGCTCACAGCAACCTCCAACTCCTGGGCTCAAGCGAATCTCCTGCCTCAGCCTCCCAAGTAGCTGGGACTACAGGTGCCCGCCACAGTGCTGGCCATTTTTTGGTTGCAGCCATCGTTGTTGTTTGGCGGGCCCGGGCTGGGGATTTGAACCCGCCACCTTAGGTGTATGTGGCTGGCGCCTTAGCCGATTGAGCCACAGGTGCTGAGCTTCTTTGTGCTTTTTCAAGTGTATAGTGTTTATGACTTGTAACTCTTTTGGAAAGGAAAGTCTTCATGTTTAATATAATACTGTTACCATAATCTAGATATTTGATAGCTATTTCTTTATCTTTTTTGCTAAATTGAAGAAAAAATACTGAGACTTAATATAGTTTTAGATAACATGCTTTTTTTTGTTTTGTTTTGCATGCAGATCCTTATTGAATTTTGTGCAGGTGGAGCAGTAGATGCTGTGATGCTTGGTAAATATCTTTCTGTTCTTTATGTTTATATCTTATATTTAATAAAAATAAAGAGTTTCAGATATACATATATGAATATTTATTCAAAGATGTAATTGGGGAGTGAAGTTCAATAAATTAAGAAATCAAATTAATTATATTTTTATATTCCTGGATAATTGTAATAAAATTCCAAAATGAAATGTTGAGTATAATATGTCAGGAAAGTAATCTTTGTAGATCTTTAGTTTTTCCAAAATAATTTCCCTGTGTGTCATCTATGACAGTGATGGTATATACAGAAGGATATACAGCATGCCAATATGTTTTCACTTAATAAAAATGCAGATTTGTTTACTTTCTTTTTATAGAACTCGAGAGACCATTAACTGAGTCCCAAATACAAGTAGTTTGCAAACAGACGTTAGAGGCATTGAACTACTTACATGATAATAAAATCATCCATAGAGATCTAAAGGCTGGCAACATTCTTTTTACCTTAGATGGAGATATTAAACTGGGTAAGTTATTCACTTAGATGAAACATTTGAATTTGTGCTGTGAGATTTTTTTCCCCTGTATGTATGTGACTTACTCTTTCATTACTACTCAAATATGTGAACCATGGAAATTTAAAGTTCTGTTTTCTTTCAGACACTTTTTCTTGGGTAAGTATTCATTTATCTAGAAATCCTAAGTGTTGGCAACTAAAAGACACTTAAACAAATTAAGAAAAGACAAACTTTTATTTTCAGAAAGGCAAACTTTTTAAAGAGTATTTAAAAATGGAATTTTTTTCTTAAATTTTTAAATATAAACTTGTACATATTTTACATTTATAATGTGTAAAACTAACTCAGTTTTGTCTTTATTTCTAAACTCATGAGTAGTGAGTTTTTTCTTTAGTGTTTAGTTTTATATTCTACTTTGTTGACATGGTACATTGGCTAAACTAACAAAGTAAAAACTTAGTTTGGTTTTTACAGTTCTTAAATTTTGCTTTTTACACTGAGGGCATAAGTGATTAACTTCATAAGAAGAATTAAATGTAAAACTAGACTGAAAATTAATTGATTTATATATATACCTACATACAAATAGAAGATACCACTTTCTTGAGGAATATCCAAGATATGAATTAAAAACAATCTGGAGATGAAGTCTGAGTTTGTATCTTTTGGAAGGATATTAAAAGGACAAAATATATTTAAAGGCTCTGTTGAGCTATTTAATTTCACTTTGTTATGACCTCTAAACAGGTAATGCACTAAATTTTAACCTTTTTATTGTGAAATAAATACAGATGTAGAATACCACACAGTATATAGCTAAGTGACTTTGTTACTTACACAGTAGCTTTGTAATCATTATCTAGATCAAGAAATAGAACTTTGTCAGGTACCTCAGAAGCTCTTAGATGTGCCTGTCTAAATCACTGGCCCTCCCTACTCTCCCAACTTTTATAGTAATTACTTCCTTGTGTTTCTTTATGGTTCACTTATCTGAGGTGCATCTCTAGATGTTAGATTATAATCTTGCCCATATATAAAACTTGATTTTTCTTTGAAATATCTTTTTTTTTTTTTTGAGACAGGCCTCAAGCTGTCCCCCTGGGTAGAGTGCTGTGGCATTACAGCTCACAGCAACCTCCAACTCCTGGGCTCAAGCGAGTC